CCGACTCTTGATCAACGTATTTTTAAAAACGGGTCTCTTGGGGTTTTGGGGATGCTTTTTGATTTCTTCTTTAATAAGTAAGGTTTTTTCGAGTTTCGATATCATAAAATCCCAAAAAAGTACTGGAAGAAGCAAACTACTGAGAGTCTTCCTAAGAGATTCAGATTTTTTTCGATTGAATTTTTTTTGTGTGGTTTTTGATGATTTTATGAAGTTTTATGATATTCATAGTAAAGAAACCCAAAAAGGATTCAAAATTAGCAAAAGTCTTTTTGTCAACTGTGTCGACACGTTTGAAGAGTAGAAGTCAAAAACCCCTTTTTGGAAAACTCTGACACTACTGAACATTCTAGGCGCTATTGAATAATAGGATTATTTTTATTGAAATGGGCCGTTCGAGTGTCAAAACAACTGAAATACCGAATGCAGCTTTTGCTTCTGACGGATATAGAAGAATATTCTAACCTGCTGTTTGATTCAATGTTGTGTCCTTGTCCTTTTCCTGTTCAACATCATGATCAGACTTCGATTTTGATTCTGAATCTGATTCAGGTTCAGGTTCAGGTTCAGGTTGAGTATCATCTTCATCAGTTTCTGTTGAATCGGTTGACTGTTGTTTTTCCCAATCATCGAGTGCTACCGTAAGATCATCATTCCATCGTATGAATAGACCTTGAACATCGTAAACATCGTCTGTAATGAATATGAGATTAGTCAACAGAGGTAAAATATGTTTGAACGATGCTTGTGAAATTGAAAAGCCCAATCGAATTTTTATAGCTTTTTTTGCTACGGTCGAATCCTTTGAAAAGGATAAGTCATAAATATAATCTGTCAACGGTTTCAATGATGCGGACAAAAGATTGTCACCGGTCGATAAACATTTTGCTGGAATTTGTTCACATAATTGACTGGTTAGAGTTAAAATTTGATGAACGATTGTTGGATCGTTCTTTTCAGCTGATTTGATCAGAATTATGAGTATCGATGTTAGCGATTGAATGATAAAATGGGACAATTCTGGTAGTTGCATTTCTTTGCTATTTCCATCATCGGATAATTCAGCGTTGGCCACATTGGAAGATAATGCATATCGTTTGGAAAAAATGGATCGATCTATCGCTTGATTATCGGCTAACTTTTTTGTTAGAGATGCTTGTAACTGTTGCTCATTTGTAAACATAATTTTCAGTTCTTCAATTGCACCGATGTGATGCCCAACAACGGACAGAAAAATATCGTTTGCAAACAGTTCGTTTATTTGAGTGTTGAGATCTGTAAGTTCGGTTGTGTCTGTCAATAGGGATAGATTACTTTGAATTTGTTTAATCGAACATCTTTCCGAACATAGAACTTGACGATCATGATCCGACTGAAGTGAACTTTCACTTGATGAAGAAATCGAAGCTTTAACATTCAAGAATAAATTGATATCATCTTTACCATTATGAGTTTCGATAGTATCAGAACTGAGCTCTGCGTCACATTTTTTAACTGAATCAACGATTTTTGAATTGATCTTCGACAAATGTTGACCCATCTTCCTTTTCGGTAATCGACCGATAGCACTGGACGAAAGAAAAAGGTTGAATCTGAAAACTAGGTTATGAATAGAAATGAAAAGTCGGACAGCGGAAAAAGATCATCTTTTTTTTGTTATTCTGATACGAAGCCAGATGTGTGTGCTTGGAATGTAACAAACCTTCAGTCTTGAGTCAGTAAAGATGAACTGAAGAAAAAAACATGTGTATGAATGGATTTTCTCGTCTTGTTGTGCAATTCATAACTAAAACTTACATTTCTTGGGACGATTTTTTTCTTTCGTTGCACTTCTCGCTCGAAAAACATACATTGTGACGTGTAGCGAGTGCATAGTTCTGTTTCTCTATTTTTTTTCTTCTCGTAATATTTTACGGAGAATACATCCTATTCCGCGATGTTGCACATTGCGAGAATCGATTTCACCCTTCCCCCTCCCGAAATCAGTTCCATCCGATTCCAGAATTCCTAATAGTCGAATTAACACGCCTTATTCGAAAACGATCGAGTTCCTTCAATTTCCGGCATTACCGGAATTGCATCTAATTCCGAAATTTCATCTCATCCTCACCCTATGCATGCCTTCTGTAGTTAAAAATAAAAATATCTAAGATAAGCGAGCGATCCCCGGGCAGAATTCCGGGAATTAGATCGAAGCGTAATCAGACGGAATTCTGAAATTGGACGGAATGACTGGGAATTGCTAAACATTTCACCCGATTCCATCTAATTCCGCTTCAATCAAATTCCCAAAATTCCGTTCCGGAATCGGTCGCTTATCTTAGATATTTATCTTTAACTGCAGAAGGCATGCGGAGGGTGAGGATGAAATGGAATTGCGGAATCGATTCCTGCAATGTGCAGCATCGCGGAATAGGATGACTGCTCATTTTAAGCTGCTTCAAATGAATAAGTTTGTAACATGCACGCATAAATGCTGCGGCGGCAGATGGCGATGATTGAGTTATACTCATTGTTTTTTGACCGGAGAACAGTAAAGAAAAAGAAAGAAATAAACCGCAAAATGAAAATTACTTTATTGCCATCATAGGTGTCTCATTAAATGCCATACTTCTTTTCTTAGTTTCAAAAGTCCTATCTAATGCTCTGAGCGTAATTCAGCATTAAAATATCGAAGTTCGTTTGAATTATTTTATATTGTCTGTCTTTCGGCACCTATTCGACACGAAAGTATAGGATGTGGATGTGGGTATGGATGGAGAACAGATGGCACCCACAGGCATATGCATACTCACACTCACACCTACCCACACCTACATCCAGATCCCCACCTCCACCCACACCCGAATTTTCTGTTTTTTGATGATATAACTTCCGTTATTTTCTGCTTTTCGAACCTCAAAAGATGGCAACACTGATCGCGACTCAAAATCTTGCACATGCACACACAATCGTAGCAGATGTGTGCGACGAAAGAAGTTTCATAGATTAAAACTAACACCAAAGCACACATACAATCGCCGCAGGTGAGGATGTGCTGAAAAATTTTCATAAATCGCAACTAACACAAAGTCACTCATACACAGTCGTAGCAGGTGAGGGTGTACCGAAAGAAGTTGCACGAAGCACGACTTACACAAAATCATACACACTCACACACCATATCAGCTGGTTAGGTAACGGCGGAAAGATCTTGAAATTTTATACTTGAAACTTGAAGGTTGAAACTTGAAATTTCAATTGAATTCAAGTTTCAAGTTTGACACTACTCTTCGGTGTCGGTGGGTGCGGGTATGAAGAGGAGAGCTGTAGGTATCGGTGAGAGGTGTGGATGTCGGTAGGTGCTGGTATGCGGAAGAGGTGTGATGTTGGTGGGTGCAGGTAGTATGGGGGGGAGGGGGGAGGGGGAGGGCGGAGGTGAGGATGTCTGTGAGTGAGGCTATAGGGATGGAAGTGTGTTTGGGTGTGGTTGTGAGTGCAGATGGATCTGAATGGTCCGGCTGTGGGCATAAGTATTGGTATCAGTGTTCATCTGGGCTTCATTAGGGGCGAGTGAGAGTTCGTGGGTGCGGGTGTGAGAGGAGAACAAAAATATGAACATCCTCAACGAATCGTTGTCGTAACAATCAAGGCAAAGCTTCACAAATCGACATAGAAAACTAGCTACAAGAATACGCGCGCCCAAACTCACATCCACCCACATCCACACCCTGAATTTTCCATGCATTATTAGCTTACAGCAAAGTTAAATGACGTTTATGATAATGTGAGTAGCATTTCTGTAAGAATGAAAATGTAATGAACGGGTTTTTAAAGGAAACATGCTCTGTTACATCTCTACAATTAGATCTTCTCATAGATAGCTAACAAGTAACACAATGCAAACATCTCTAACCCTCTACTGAATGGAGCTGTGTCAGCGTGCATACCCTGTGTGAACAAACAGCTATGGATCTACTATTCTCACATACACTTAAAGGAATCAAAATTAAAGGAACAGACGATGGATATATATGTATATGATTAAGTTTCTAAAAAGATCCAAGAAGTGTAGATTGGTCATAAAGAAAATTTTTACATATCAATCGGTAAACTATTCTCAATCAGCATTAACAGAGTATTGACAGTCACTAATTGTTCATATGGGCAAAACAGCTAACGTAATTGATAAGAAATGTTCTTGTTCTCATATTTCTGCTATGGTTCAGCGATACTTTTTTGGCTTTCCTTAAAAATTTATGATTAAAAACTGTTGGAAGTAAAAGAGAACAGCTATATACAGTTCATCACATTTTTCAACTCAAATATTGGATATATCATTTCAAAAATGAGTTATTCTTGATGCAAATCATTTTCAACTTGATACTCTTCATGACTTGACAATAACAGTCGAGTCAAGTGAGACCTATTGTGTCAGCTAAGCTTTTCATAGGTCCACATCCCATAAAGTACTTGGGTAATAACATAGGACTCCTTCCACCGTTACATGTGTGATCTTCGATTGATCTTTAAATAGCATCATATGATAGAACTTTTTACTCTGATCATTTTGATTATCAAAAACTCTATCATTGATTGTACAATAAAAGAGAAATTCACAAAATAAGAAAGTATGCATTTTTGATTATTTTTTCCTACTTTAAATGTAATCGTTTTTATTATTTTGGCGAATATGAATCTAAGTATTTTTCTAATCGAAATTTCAACTCCAGATTCGTGTAGAGCATCGAAAAATCTTCAAGATCATCTACTTGTCAAGGTAAATTTAAATTATTTTTACTAGAACCTTGCCAGCTACTCATTTCTGCTCAATAGCTAAAACATGCGAAAATGTTTGCTTATCATTTAATTCAAAAATGGAATTCGTGCAGAAAGCCCGATATACACTTCGATAGAGGAGCTTCCACTCTATCGACCTATATAAATAACTTTTTATAAAAGTGTCATTTCCTATGAAAATAAAAACAAAAACAAAAAAAACTGCTGCGGTTTTTACATTTTTAGTAGCAGAGTTTTATATTGTTCAACTATTTGGTCTAATATTTTACGATCAACAATAAAAATCAGCTTTAGATTCAAAATCAGCATTAAAAACTGCATTGAATGAGGTATTTTTCGTCAGGTAGAATTATTTTATATAGAGTCGTGGTAAAGAGACTTTAATTCTATACTTGATGGTAATTTAATAACGAAACTCAAATCAGTTTCATTATTGTAACAGTGAAAACTTATTGTTCTATGTTTTCTAGTAGATTTTGTGGTGCTTTTCAATAGTCTATTGAATCAAGCTTTGAACTCTCTTCAAAGATCAAAGAAACATTATGCGAGTTTTTTGATAGAGGATATCTAGGAAATAACAAAAAGAGTAAGTGTAGCATTTTAATACCATGTAGTAAACCTAAAGAAACTTTCTTTCTGTATAATCTTATACAGAAAAAAGCTCTATCTTTATATACAATACTATAATACCTGAAGTAATACCCTAATGATAAACTTTCAATAAGTGTCTCGTTACCATATGTGTCTCTTCTATCAGTAATCATTTTGAATACCTATTGATAAAAACAAAATAGAGAAGTGCGATTTTCGTGGTTTGAAAAGAACGATGAGAACGCATCGAATTATATGTTCTAGGTTTTCTTGATCTGTTTTTTGTAAAATACTCCAATAACCTTTTTAAAGACAAACTTATCTAACAAGTAACACTCATCCGTGTGACTCACTTGACCCTCGACTATATATTCGACTCTTTAATGTTTTATACTGATCTACAGTCGTCAAGATAGCTAGTACCCAACATTTCAAAAGAGTGGATGGATGTGTGTACATTGATATTAGCGTCAATCTCGTTGTGCACAATAGTATGCAGGTCCGAATGAACATCTTTGTCACAAATACATCTTATCAAATTGATACTCCCACATTGATACTCAACAATAGTCTAAGAAACTACACTATGGCAGCGATATTCACAAGCATCCGAAAAACAGATTATATTCAATTTTCTAAGAGGTCATGAAGCAAATTGCGTTCACGACACTATTGTGAAACAGTGCCATACTCCTTCAAATTTCTACTAGAAATCCGTTGACTTACAAAAACATCAACCGACAATATTTTTTATTTGGGTGTGTACTACAAAAATACGAGTTCAGCTGAACTTCTAGCTTAAAATTAATCATA